TTTTTTATTTTTAGGATTATTAGTTGTTATACATACGACACGTTTATTACATTGAATGGGTTAAAAAATTATAGTTTTCAAAGGTTTAAATTTGAAAATAAACAAACAAATATTTAACCTATACCGTTATCAATAGTTATAGGCTACCCAAAATGTTTTTAAATAATATCAAGAACATTTAGTAAAATTTTGGACTTAAACAAATATTTAGCTGAGATATTTCAACTTTCTGTTACAAAACACTAAATTAAAACATTGTGGATAATCACAATAGAAGCACCACTATCCTGCCTCCATGGGCTTGCAGTAGGCCTATCATAGAAAAATTTATTTTAAAACATAAAAACCTTATCAGATTGCTACTAAACGTATATTTTCTTATTCAGAAATAACCAATAAACATTGAAATAAAATAAAAATAAAATACAAATTTTGGCAGTTTTTTAGCGAATTTCCCATATAGGGAATAAGCTATTACCGTAGTACTCATGGTAAGACCTGGATGCGGGACCGATTTTTTTTTCGTTTTGAGGTCCCTAGAGGCCAAAAACACCATTCGTTCAAATTCATATATATATATTTATATATATATATATATATTTATATATATATATATGTGTCCGTTAGCACGATAACTCAAGCAAAAATGATCCGATTTTGATGAAATTTGGTACAAACGTGTAAACCTACGTTTATTCGAACGAGTTCGCGATCCAGCATGATCGGTTCATGGGAACGGGGGTTTATGGGGGGTTTTATGGGGTAAAAATAGGTTTTTCCCATTTATGACCCAAAAAACATAAAATTTTGCAATTTCTTTCCAAACCATTTTGTAGAGCTTAAAAAAGCAAATAATTTAGTATATTGAAGCGTTATTATGCGCCTAATGGTTACAGAGAAAATTCCAAAAAATTGTAATTTTAAAATTCCCATGTTATTCTTATGGAGAATAAGTAAACTGTTGTAGTTTGCTTGTTTATGAACATATTTTGATCAAATTTGGAAAATGTTTTTATTTCTTACTACGGTAACTATTAACATTTTACAAAAAAAAAAACAGTTTTACCCTCCCTGATGCAGCAAACCTAAGTACTTGTTAAACTAATTCTATTAAATCGGGAATAAATGTTATATTTTTAAGTAGACATTTCAGTGTACATCCAATCAGTCAAATGGAAATTCGCTTAGTCTGCAGGTTTGCTGCGGCGGGGGTATTTAATCATTTAAAGAACACTGAAAAAGGTTCATCGACAATAATGTTCTCGTTTTCCTGTAAAGGCAAACAATATGAGATTATGTTCGTTGCAGACAGGCAGGAAAACACACAAACAAATACTCTGATCAAAAACACATTTGTTCTGGTTTATCTATGGGATAAAATGTTATAAGTTAAATACTACATATTTAAGCTTAAAACAGAAAAAAAATTAATTTATAGATAAACTGACAGTAAATTATTTATTTTTCTGTATTTTCAATAGAAAATTGGGTAATATTAAAGAAATCTTATTTTTATTCAAATTTAGGCTAATTACTAGATCCTTGTGTACACTACTTCACGTACGACCGTTTATTAATTACTAAAAATCACCTTTCATAACTTCCGAGAGAGGTTATGTTTCCGTTAATAACCTCTCTTTGCCACTGATTGTGATCCAGCCAATCAATCAATTCAATTGGTCTTAACAGCTGACAAGTTGACGTTTGAAGTTTTGCAATTTTACTTCTTTTCTCTCAATCCTTTAACCTCATTGGACCAAACTTGTACTGTTAAGTTACAAAAGAATACTGTACAATAAGTAAACAATACTGTAAAGTGAATCTTTTCAATTCAAAGAACTGAATTTTAAAGGCTACTTTAAAAAACGGCCATAGGTAAAATTATAAACGTATGTTTTTATCACAGAATTAGATATATTTACAATTCATTCCTCAACGAAGTAAACATTTTGCATCAATGGGCGTATTTTGAAAATACGAAATTATAAAAAACAAAAAATAAAATTAATATAATAAAAAATTGAATCAATAGTTATGAAATTATATATATCCATACATATATATAATTTCATAACTATTGATTCAATTTTCATGAAAGTGTGTGTGCATAAAGATTATGTCAAAACTGCTAACAAATCCCTTTTTTTAAGTGTAATTTTATATGGTTTGAGGCTATGGGGCTGTGCACCAGATGTAAAATGTGTATTGCTACTGCAAAAGAAAGCAGCGCGTCTGCTGGCTGATGCAACGTCCACAGATCATTGTAAGCCCATTTTTGTATCTGAGGGCTTGATGACATGTTTTAGCTTATATGTATTTGTGTGCCTATTAAATTTAAGAAGTAAGATAGACAATGTTAATTTGAGAGAGGATTTTTATGAGCATGATACTAGATCTAAGAACCTTTTTGATGTGCCATTTGTTAGATTAAGAAAAAGTCAAGTTCAACACAGCTTATTAAGTTTAAGATTTTTTAACAGACTCCCATGTGAAGCCCGAAACCAGAATTTTTCAAAATTCAAAACCAACCTCAGAAACCTTTTATTGGCCAACCCACTGTATTCCTGGAATGATTTTTTTAAATATACCAGCAGCATCCGTAAGTACCTATTTTTATGTTTTTTACCTATTTTTAAGTTTTGACTCTTGATATGTGATATTATTTGACTTGCATGTGTAATTAGACCTTGCATCTTTATTTTTGTAGTTGTGAACATAAAGTTATTATTTATTATTATATATTTATTTATTTATTGTAGAAATTTTGAGAGTTTTGTAGAAGCGTGTTGATTGATGTTGAATTTGCCTTGTGAATGCCTTGTGATCATTATGCCTTGTTTAACTGACGATTCCAAATGCATGTAATTGTGACAAAAGGAAAATAAATATTCTTATTCATATTAAATAGGATGGTTTAATATTGGTTATACGGTTTTACAAGAGAGAAAAATCAATTCGGGTGGCTTAATGGTTTTTACACCCAATTTGATGCTGTATTTGGACTGACTGCTGTGAAAACATGACACATTCTGCATTGAATGATGATCAGTATTTACTAATTACACACCATAAATATGCAAAAACGATCATAATCTATCAGATAATGTGCGTTTGCTTTTTGTGGTCTGGCTGTAACTTTTGACTATTAATACACTATCGTATTGTGAACGAGACATTTCTTTCTCACAAAAAAAGTTTTAGCTAGTATTAATCATACTTCTTCATAGTTACTAAATTGTTTGAATTTTGGCACTAAAGAGTGGAGCAGAAATTGCTCTCATAAGCCACCAATATGATTCATAAAGCGAAATATGGTTTGGTGTTTATAATATGATGTGGATTTGAGTATTCTAGTCAGTTTATTCGGTTATTTGATACTTGTGGTCTGATTTTGATCATTTCGATTGTTTTGACTATTGATGTGCGTAATAATGTAAAGTTAAATTGCATTACAATTTAAAATTAATCGTATTAATTGAATTACTTCCTTATATATTTATCATATTTTTAACTGAATTACATACTTCTGTTTAGTTTCTTTCAAAGGGCGTTTTGTAGTTACTATTAAAAATAGTTACTAAATAAATAGTTATTTGTGTAACTAAGGCAATTTGCACTCGAGTTACACATTATATTTTTCGTACAGTTACTATAAAGCATATAAATAATAAGTCTTTCAAACACTGTACAATACGTTTTAAGGTTAGGTTTGTGACGAATTTTCGGAACGGAGCGGATTTGCAGCTTGCACACTTGTCCTGGATAGCAAAGTCGTAGCTGGGTTTTTGATTCCAAGGGTCGATGTTAAAAGGAGTGGGAATTGGCTCAGAATATTGGCAATGAATCACAAGATTCCCAAATGGCCCTGACTCATCACAGCCAATTGAATAAGCTTGGAATGCTGGGATTTCTCTAGCACGTGAGACGGGTTGCTCGGATTGCTCTAGCACTCAGGACGGATTGCTCGGATTTCTCTAGCAATAGGAATAGATTGCTCGGATTGCTCTAGCAATAGGGACGGATTGCTCGGATTTCTCTAGCAATAGGGACCGATTGCTTGGATTTCTCTAGCAATAAGGACGGATTACTTAGATTTCTCTAGCAATAAGGACGGATTGCTCGGATTGCTCTAGCAATAGGGACGGATTGCTTGGATTGCTCTAGCAATAGGGACGGATTGCTTGGATTTCTCTAGCAATAAGAACGGATTGATTGGATTGCTCCAGCAATAAGGACGGATTGCTCTAGCAATAGTGACGGATTGCTTGGATTGCTCTAGCAATAGGGACGGATTGCTCGGATTTCTCTAGCAATAGGGACGGATTGCTTGGATTTCTCTAGCAATAGGGACGGATTGCTCGGATTGCTCTAGCAATAGGAACGGATTGCTTGGATCTCTCTAGCAATAGGGGCGGATTGCTCGGATTGCTCTAGCAATAGGAACAGATTGCTTGGATTTCTCTAGCAATAAGGACGGATTGCTCGGATTGCTCTAGCAATAGGGACGGATTGCTTGGATTTCTCCAGCAATAAGGACGGATTGCTCGGATTTCTCTAGCAATAGGAACGGATTGCTTGGATTGCTCCAGCAATAAGGAAGGATTGCTCGGATTGCTCTAGCAATAAGGACGGATTGCTCGGATTGCTCTAGCAATAAGGACGGATTGCTCGGATTGCTCTAGCAATAAGGACGGATTGCTCGGATGGCTCTAGCAATAAGGACGGTTTGCTAGGATTGCTCTAGCAATAAGGACGGATTTTAGGAGAGTGCACCTCCTATGAAGTGTCCTGGGCCACTGCCCGGGAGCGAAAGAGACTGAGGTCCCGAGCTGCCGCGGTTTTATGCGAAAATCTGGTCCACCTGTTGGGGGAAAGTCGCGCATGCGCAGGAGTGCGTTTTTTCTCAGTTGCAACCCAGCTGTCATGGAGAGCTTATCGGTTCCTAAGTTAACATAGACACAAATAGGGATTGGAATTGGGGTTATGTTCGGCGGATAGGATCAGGAACTGGCATAATGGTATTGGTATCGATAGTTTCGGGCGGCGGAAGGAGATGTGGGGCGGCGGAAGGAGATGTGGAGCGGCGGAAGGTGCTCTTGGGCGGCGGAAAGGAGTCGTAGGGTAAGGAGATGGGCGGAAGTCGTGGCGGAAGGATAGGTAGGGCAGCGGAAGACGAGTTGAGGCGGCGGAAGTTGACTAGGGGCGGCGGAAAGGAGACGTGAGGTAGGGAGATGGGCGGAGATCGTGGCGGAAGGATCGGTAGGGCAGTGGAAGGCGACGTAGGGCGGCGAAAAGGAGATGTGAGGTAGGGATATGGGCGGAGATCGTGGCGGAAGGATCGGTAGGGCGGCGGAAGGCGACGCAGGGCGGCGGAAGTTGACTAGGGGTGGCGGAAAGGAGACGTAAGGTAAGGATATGGGCGGAAGGATAGGTAGGGCAGCGGAATGCGATGTGGGGTGGCGGAAGCTGACTAGGGGCGGCGGAAAGGAGACGTGAGGTAGGGAGATGGGCGGAGATCGTGGCGGAAGGATCGGTAGGGCAGCGGAAGGCGACGCAGGGTGGCGGAAGTTGATTGGAGCGGCGGAAAGGAGACGTAAGGTAAGGAGATGGGTGGAGGTCATGGCGGAAGGATAGGTAGGGCAGCGGAAGGCGATGTAGGGTGGCGGACGTTGACTAGGGGCGGCGGAAAGGAGACGTGAGGTAGGGAGATGGGCGGAGATCGTGGCGGAAGGATCGGTAGGGCAGCGGAAGGCGACGCAGGGTGGCGGAAGTTGATTGGAGCGGCGGAAAGGAGACGTAAGGTAAGGAGATGGGTGGAGGTCATGGCGGAAGGATAGGTAGGGCAGCGGAAGGCGACGCAGGGTGGCGGAAGTTGATTGGAGCGGCGGAAAGGAGACGTGAGGTAGGGAGATGGGCGGAGATCGTGGCGGAAGGGTATATGGGGCGGCGGAAGGTGGTGTGGAGCGGCGGAAGTTGACTGGGGACGGCGGAAAGGAGTCGTAAGGTTTAAGGAGGAAGGAAAAAAGTATCTTGAAAAAAATTGGCTCGTTACAGGTTAAATCCAAACATGAAACGACATGGGAAACTCTGCACCAGCTGGTCGTATTCGTAATATATAAGTGTTGCCAACTTATTTTCAAGCGTACACGTATTACGTGCCTCATAAAAGCACGCTGTTTTGGGCTGCTTGGTTGGAGTAAGTAAGTAGATGCAGCAATTAGCAACTTTCTGTGCTATAATCAGTGCAAGGAAGGTCACTTTGTTAGGGCGACTGTAGGAAAAAATAGTAAAAAAAAAAATAATCAACTGTGTATTTTTTTAACATAAGAAACTGTTCAGTATTACTTTTTCCTACGTCTTTACAGCCTAAGTGTAAAGGGAAATATCGTCAAATCAACCCTAAAATATAAGAGAAACATTTTTATCAACATGAAACACTCATCAAAACTGTTAAATTTTATAATAAATTAAGAATTTATTATAGTGATATAACTCGAAATCAATATGCCTATTTGGGGTCAGTTTTAGAATAAATTTAAACCAAGTTCAACTAATTCTCCAATTTTATAATAATGGCAAACTTAAAGGGTAACTACGTCAGCTATAGCCTATTTCCCCTATCCACTTGCTACCAGAGTAAGAATCATTGAAAGAGAACAAAGTAGCACTCTCTATAGGCGCTCAGAGATAATATAATTAAACAAGGCTCAGATGCTTTTTCAACTATATCATCTTTGAGTAAAAACTAGTGTGACGGGAAGTCACCAAAAATTATTTTCTAAATCTTGGGATTATATTTCAAAAGTAAAAGACCTGGTAAATGGATTTCACAATTCATATACCAGTGTCAGAACATTGGCATTTAGTAGACAGAATTCTTGATGACACTTACCTTGCTCAATCGATCGACCCAAAAAAACCGTAGACTTAGCATTTGTACTTTGGAGGGACTGAGGTTGGAGTTGACCGAAAGGAAGACACTTGGCCCCAGGCTGTTCAAGGGGGCACTTCGCCTGTCAACGATTTTTTGGTAAGGCGACTACACTCATTAATATTTAAACTTTAAAATTTTGTGATTGTCCAGGTTAGCTTAACGCCTTATAGTCAGTGATTGATTGATGTTATTCGTAATCATTTTTATAATAATTGATTTTATTTATAATTTGTTTGAATAATTATAGTTACTATTAAATTCCTGTTTGAATATACGAACGTGTCAAAAAGATTTATAATTATTAGAGTTTTTTATATAAATTTCATTTGCTTAGGCCTACTTATGTAATTATGTAATATGTGATTGTTTTTCGGGCTACCCGTGGGCTAACAAATGCCATTGCTTTAAAGTCTCTGTATTGCTCCCTGATCCGACAGCTGTTGGAGAACGCCAGCCCAGTTTGGTCACCCTTCCACCTAGGGCCCATCAACAAACTCGAAGGGATCCAGAGGAAATACATCAGATTTCTCGGTGCCCGTCAAGGCATGCAGTACCGTGAAGTCCCAGTGGCCGTCTTCCTAAACAATTTAAACCTGCTAGATCTTCACTTGAGACGCTGTGTGGCACACGTTGTTTTCCTCCACAAACTTCTCAATGGCCAAATTGACTGCCCTGCTTTATTTGCCGAAGTGGACCTTCGTGTGCCTTCTAGAACCCGTTCACAAGATCTGTTTGGAAAGAGGCACTTCAGTAGCCAATACGATTATCACGCTCCTCTTGCAAGATTTCTTCGTCTTGGAAACACTTTGGGGGCCAGTATCGACTTCTTCGGAGACACCACGGGGACTTTTCGAAGGAAGGCTACGGTCCGGTTGACTTCCCTGCGCCAGCAACAAAATTTATTGTAGGTTGTTATATTTGTTATATATAGATAGGTTAGAATATTTATTAATCAATGTGCATGTAAATTGAGTTGTGTTTCTTGTCTTGTTGATCTCTTAAAATGTTTATTTATATATTTATCTGTTTTCCTGTTAATATCTATTTATTGAGTTATATAAATGCATATTTTATTATAATTTAAGATTTAATTATCGTAATCATTTTTGTAATGGTCTTTGCCGTTGGAATGTAAATAAAATAAAAAGGAGCCTGCAAGTTCCAGAAGCATCTGAGAAGAGGAGTGTTCCTATCTTGCCTACTCTACCTTGAGGACAAAGTGCTGGTGACCAATGAAGACTTCCTGCCTGTCATCGAGGTGGATGAGACATACCCGGGGTCCATCTACCATGACTTCCACTGGCTGCTCAAGGTGGCCTACCTTGGTGGCTACCTGGGATGATGTGAAGTGGTTGCGCCAAGACATGAAGAAGTCCCTGAGTTCATCAGCCGCCCACTTCCGCATCAAGCTGCTGCAAGCCGCTGCCCAGATGCAGATGGCGCTGAGTATCCAGGACCTCGATCAGTTATACCACAAACCTCTGTGGGACTCCGAGGGTACGGTGGTCATCTGTACAGTCAATTACGTGGGATCTCCCAAGATTGTTAGCGTGCTCAACTCCAGGTGGCTACCACTAGGCAAGCTCAGCAAGCGAGCAGTGCCAGACCCAGACGCCATTATTGCTGAGATACTCATGTCTACCATACAGGAGCAAATCACATATCACCAAGTAAGAAGCATCCACCTACCTAGAGGACTGTACTTGGCCTACCTCAAGATGAGAAGTTGTGTAGATCTGCTGCAAGTGCTCGTACCAACCAAGAGTCCCAATGTTCCTCCTCACTGCAAGTTAAGGGACAACCCTCATGTCACTGCGGAGGAGTGATGTGGACTGATATCAGAACACCAGAAGGCGTTTGTAGAGCAGGTAGCAGCGACTGCGAGTAGACTCTTTACATACATGGAGGTGTCTACGGACGACGCTGCATTGCACAGGTTGTACGACCTGAAGACAGTAGAGATATCCCCGGATGTCAGTCTGTTGATGGTCGTACCTCCAGTGGACTCTGCATTTTCAGCTCCGGGACAACGGGAAACTCTTAGAGCAGGTAGCAGCGACTGCGAGTAGACTCTTTACATACATGGAGGTGTCTACGGACGACGCTGCATTGCACAGGTTGTACGACCTGAAGACAGTAGAAATATCCCCGGATGTCAGTCTGTTGATGGTCGTACCTCCAGCGGACTCTGCATGTTCAGCTCCGGGACAAGGGGAAACTCTTAGAGCAGGTAGCGTGACTGCGAGGAGACTCTTTACATACATAGTGTCTACGGACGACACTGCATTGCACAGGTTGTACGATCTGAAGACAGTAGAGATATCCCCGTATGTCAGTCTGTTGATGGTCGTACCTCCAGTGGACTCTGCATGTTCAGCTCCGGGACAACGGGAAACTCTGTTACAGCGACCCGACGTGTTGCCTCTACCTGTACAAGTGTTTGAGATGGTCCATCTAGGTACATACAGACACCAGATAGTACAGAGGTACAGCAGACTCAGTTGCATCATAGAGCTGGACAGGACTTTGGACAACCACAGCCAACGAGAGGCGTTTTCCAACACAGAGCTGACCGTAGCCAAGGAGCGCCTGGCCAGACTAGAGGCGCTTCAAGCCTCGTACCTCCCACCTTCAACAGTTCTAGAAAGTTTTGAGAAGAATCAAATTCAAAGTTCTATGATGGAGGCAGTTGAATTCAGTCACCATCAGAGACTACACAGAAGTTTTTTTATCCTAATTATACAGCTGAAAAAAATCGATGGTTCTATTAAATGTCTAAGCATGATAAGCCATTGTTATAGTTTGAGGTTTGTTTTGTCCTTTGACTCTCAGACATTACTTCAGGCTAGACCTAGGTTTGCAGCATTATCACTTAGATCAAATCTATTGGGGATTTGGCGGAATTTGAACCCGAGACCTCGGAAACCAAAGTCCCGCACGCTAACCACTACACCAGCTCGCTCCCCAGTTTGAATCATAATTGTGAATATTCCATCACGATGAGTAAAAATATTACATACGTTTCCAGACCTAAAATCTGACTCCACTAGTGAGCAAGTACTTCAAACTTGACAAGATTAGAACAAAATCCCAACCAAAGCAAATATGACATCAATAACAGCTTTCCCAAACTAGCCGCGACGAATCGGGGTTGCGAAAACGACGCGAGGGAGTTGAGCACAATCTCGCGCCAAAACATACACCACGTGGTGAAACTAACCTGTCGCCTTCCCGCGTTTTTGCTGTGATCGATCCAACGGGGAAAGCCGAGGTTGCATAAATTGATCAATCGGTCAACAGACTTTCCAACAATGGGCAAACAAAGCAAAAAATCAACATTGTCCCCGGTTGGTAAAGTAGCTGCAATGCTCTGTTGAAATGCCTGCGACGCAACGGACCATGCCGTAGGAAAGGTCAGTGGAACCAAAACATGAGAGACTTCAAGTATTTACTAGAAAATTTATTTTATACAAAATTTTTGAATTCATTCACAGATTCAACCACTGATACTGAAGTACACTTCCAATATATATGGACCAGCTGTCGCAAAATTGTTACTAAAAGAACGCAGTTGTGTGAGCCAGACACAGAATGCGCTAGTGTCAAAAATTATATTTACTACCTGTTTTTCGGTACTGACATAGTTTATGGGCCAAAAAAGTTGCTATACAGTAAGAAGTTATATAA